TCCTACCCGTGACCTGTGGGTTAGCCGTTCAACATTCTAACCACTGCGCCACGGGTTCGTTGTCTTGCTGCGTTCGATTGGGAATCTAAGCAGTGGTCGATAAGCACTCGCAGAGCGGTTATATCCCCACGACTCTCTACCTCCAATCTATCCTGTTCTCAGTACACGTTCTGCCTACAATGAGTCTCTTGGGTTATATGCATAACAGTAGTTACTCGACTTCATATTACTGGATGGAGCTTTTCGGCAGTATTTAGATTGCGTTGGGTTTGAGGGACCTTGCAGTATGTCCAACAAACTGAAAGGCTAACGTACTTGTTCCAAATGCTAATCTCCCCTCTTATCAACATTTTAAACATCGGCTTAGTATTTTTTTATTTAAACGCAGACGGCGCATCATCTGTGCCGAACAGTATCCCACTTTAAGCCGACGAGTTAAATTTAAACTTAGATTTTTTCACCATCAACTTTATCGATTTTCTATACTGTGTGTGTGTGGCAAACATTTCCATGCTACACCTCTGTTAGTCTGGACTTGTTATTTGGGAATTCCGCCAGCTTGTCAGTAGTATGTCCGTATACATTCTACTCTTTTTAGAATCTCAATGTAACAACTGCCCCCTCTCTCCCCCCTTCTAGGATGTACAATCCCGCTGATTACGAACACCTGATAGTTTCGGCTGAAGTGAAGGAGATGTTTCATTACATCCAGAGGTGAGTCCCTGTGCAAGAGGAGCAAGCTTTAAATCCCTTTTAGGTACACCCCACAGAGCATCGACCTTGACACCAAGCTGCGACCTTTCATACCTGAATACATTGCCGCTGTTGGCGACATTGATGCTTTTCTCAAGGTGAGCCCCAGTCTGAACACCGTCCTTGAGCTCGTGGTCATCCGAAAGTCAACGACGACGACGACGACTGACCTTAAGTCATTGTTGCGCAATAAAAATCTTCTGACTTCTTCTGGAAGGAATGCATTGTCATTCTTTACGTATATGCTATGCATTACATGAGCGCGAAAGCAAATGGTGGTTTCTTTTGTGGAGCACGTGAGTTTCCACTACGCGTGGTTAGTGGTCAGGTGCGCGTTCCTACCACCTGATTTCTAGTCTGATGACGACATAGGTTGTGCTGACGTTACTTCGAATGTAAAACTTTATGCTTGTTGGGCACTCTTAGCAGCACGTGAAACAAAATGTTTGTTGTTTATTTCTACAGACTGCAGGGCATACA